ACAATTCAGTTTAAAAATCGAAGTGCTTAATCTGACAAAATTTTTGACTAACCATAAAAGTTTGGAAATACCATGTATCGGATACTTTCATGTCACAACAATTTTAGCAACAACAATGTAATCATGCCAAATTCATGTCATGTAGTTAGTAAAGTTAAAAATTACTGCCAGTACACAATTTTGTAACACACTCTAGCAAATAAAGTTTTAGGGTGATTTGATCTCATCAAATCAATTGATAGAACTAGAATGGTGACTAAAGGGAATTCCATCTAACGTCTAGATTTATGTAGTATGAATTCAAGGGCCAAGATTCAATTTGAGGATTAAAAGAGAGAGAGAGAGAGAGAGGTATGATAATGGCCGAATTTCGCATGCGAGAAACAAGGGAGGTTGTCAACTCTTTGAATGAAAACTTACACCATGACAAGTTGACAAGATTAGAACAATTCCTCGTTAGCAAGAACACAACATATGCACCAAGTGATTCAAGACTTGCTTTAAGAAAAAGATGCAAATAAGTGATTGGTGAAAAACAAGTTAGGTAATAAGGTGTAAAGCAAACCAATCATCATAAGATCTCACTACAAGAAAGTGGTCTATTAGCGACGACAAACGTCGTCGCTAAAAGTTGTAGCACGTAAATGGTACAACATGCGAGAATTTATCCCGTGTAAAAGACTTTTAGCGATGATATTTGTCGATGCTAAAAATCTGAAAAATGATTAAGGAGATAAAAATTGAAATGTTTGCTGCCAAAAGACTTATAGTGACAATACTTGTCGTCGCTAAAGGTTTTTCTCAAAAATATAACCAAAATTGTTGCGGAAAATAAACGCGGCTTCTAGATATTTTTGAGACTTTTATGTCATCATTGAAAAGTTTGTCATCGCAAAATATTAATTTAGGGTTTTAGCATTTTATGTAACTGTGATGAAATGATGTTGTTAGGTCCTTATTTAGCGACGATTGTTTGACTTTTGATGACAACAAATGTGGTCACTAAAAGTCTACTTATAACTTCTCAGCCGTGATCTTCTTCTCCATTCTCTGATTTCTCTCTCTTTCTACCCCTAATCTCTCTTTCTCTACCCCTGTGACCGCCCCTGACGCCCCAACGTCCACCCCACCGCAGTCACCACTGCCGCTGTCCCCTCTCCCTTTTCCTCTCCACTTATCTCTCTTTCTACAATATTATTTTTCTCTCTCTCTACCCAAACCCCAAAACTCTCTCTCTACCCCGAATTATAGATCGTGTCACAAAATGCCCATTGAACTCTTACAAAATTTTCCCTTATGTTAAATTGTTGACCGAAAATGACACATAGCACTCGTTCATGATATGAGTTGGGTATTAAATATGCAGTTACGATGCTCCCCTCTATTGGGGTGATATGCAATTAATTCGTAAATTTTTTTTCTTTTTTTTAAAGCAAATTTTTCATTTTTTGCCTTTCTCCTTTGCTTGACCTAAGCTGATTGTTCATCAATGGCAGTCAACAATATAGCACAGGCATGAAGTATTCATGGTCTAAACTAGACGTCTTTGACGAGGGTAATGTGCACGGAGGTTTTAGGAGCATCAGCGATCTGGCTTCGTGCTACAGGCTAGGCACAAAATTAATGGGACGTCTGGTTCATGGATTCAGAACCATGATTTATGATTCTGATTTTTAAAATTCAAATTATTTGTGATAGAAAAACTGTAGAAAATCAAGAATCATGATTCAAAACTAAGGATGAGCCCTTAAAACAAACATCTCATAAGAGGTTCGATGGTTTCGTTCAAATCACTTCCGAGTCAAGCTTGCCGCGGGCTGGGTTGCCGATGGGTAACCGGAGAATCAACTTCCTCTCCACGTGGCGTGTGTCTTCACAAAAATTGAAGTGGAGCGAAAAGCCAGTCTCATCTCTAAAGTCAGAGATGGTAACAATGCCAGTGTTGACGAACCTGCTAGTTCAAGCAAATTTTTCTCAAGATTTTTTTTTTCTTAGATTTTTTATGCAAATTATTGAAATGTAGGTAGAGAATATTGCCCATTGGAAATGTATGCAGATGCCCATTGATTTGTTTGTTTTGGCCAGCTTTGTTATTTGTTTGAGTTGTATTCTCTAAGGCGATGAAGATGGATATGACAATCGGGGTAGTGTTAGCATTGTTTAGGGATGGTTTTTTTTTAGTATTTTTAATCTTTTTTTTTCTATAAAAGTAAATTAGGATTTAGTAGACGTTTGTTTCACGGATTCATAACAAGAATTTAGAATTATTCTCGGTTTACGTATATTTTTTTGTGAGAGAAAATAATGTAACGAGTCACAAATCATGATTCGAATCATGACACGAATCCTCATACCAAACACGCTCTTAATGTACTTATGGTTTATGTTCACTAAAATGCCCTTAAAATTGTCATCATAAGCATTCCATGTGTCATTTACTATCAATAATTTAAAAGAATTCTAAAGTTCACAGAGAATGGATGCTACAAATTGAATTTCAAAACATTTTGTGACACGACCTATAATTCAGAAGAGAATTATGTAATTTATGCTTATAATAATGAAAACATCAATATCATTTAAACAATCATAATTATATATACAATACGAGAACACTACGAATAACAAAATCATTATAATAATAGCGATCATTCATCTATGATGATGAAGATATACATAAATTTGAAATAAGCCTTTTATTATAATATTTGTACACTCTTAAATTAATAGTTCTCTACATTTTATTGGGCCAACTATTTAGATTTTAAAAAATAAAATATTCAATTTTATTAAGTTCATAAACATTAGTATAATCTTGATAAAAAAAAATTGATCCCTACCAATAAATTTTGACTCCGTACTGTTTGTACATTAATGTATTTGCTCTAGAGTATCAATCCTAAGAATAGACTTAAGTAATATGATTGATTGAGTCAATTGATCACTCCTCTCAAGCGAGGTCTCTCTCTGTTTTAGTGCGACGAAAAAGCTCTCAAATTTTTTTTTTTTTTTTGTGATAATGATAATATTTAGAAGTATAATGATAACTTTATAACAATTATAATAATAATAATTTTTGTGTACTAACTAATACGGCATGTAAAATTATTTTTACATTGGTGGATGTTTAGAATATTACCATGTTAATTTATGATAGGAGATTCATCTGCTAATAAAAAGATGACAACTCACATGTCATATCAGTTAATACATAAGAGTTGAGATTGAAATTGTTATCCTTAGTATTACTATCGTATTAATAACAAATTTTGGGGAAAAAAAGCTAAGAAAATAATGAGAAAATGTAAATTGGTGAGTGGCGAAAAAATCAATTCAAATTTAAATAATGAGGTAAAATAAAACTGAGTTGATATTGTAAGATTTTGTCTTAAAAAAAAAAAACCCTCGTATAACAATATTAAAAAAAAAAAAAATCAATGGAAGAGGTTAACATAAGGGTATATTAATGAACTTCAAAGTTCAATCGGACATGTTTATATTTTTAAAATTCCAACCAAGTTTTAAAAATCTTATAAACAAGTCACTCTGTGCAGGTTTTTGGGTTAATCTTAAAAATGATCGAGAACATTGTAATCAATCTCATATTGATTTTTAACTACTATTAAACACCTATAGTTCAACCCTTATTTATACTTTGTTTTAATATTAACCCTTTTCATCGGTTGACTGTTAAAAAGATGATGAAATATACATGTTATTGTAATGCTGATACTTAATAGAAAATAGCATGTTGTAATGTTATTACGACGCGGATTATACACGTGATTCTGATGAAAAAAACAAAATAAGATTACAAACTGAATATTACCCCTATTATGTTTTTTTTAACACTTAACTAATAAAAAGACTAAAATTAAAACAAATCAGTAGATCATTCTTAAGCTTAAGGTGCTTTTAAAGTCATAAACTAAAATAAGAATGTCTGCAGGAAGCATTTGTAGGATCAATTTTAGTGTTTGTTTGGTTTGAAGGTTCAAATCAGATGTTTCGAATTAGAATTTAAATTTTATAAGAAAAAATACTATATCACAACTTTTTAAATTTAAATTATTTATGAGAGAAAATACTATTTAACTAAATCTAAGGTGGCTTAAACCCTCAAACCAAACATGCACTTAATTTCTTCAAAGGATAAATAAGAGTTCAATTTGGATGTTAATTTACCCAGTTTTACAAGACTCAGATATTTTGCTAAATTTAATGTTTTAATTGGTGTCCAATTAATTATATCACGTTACGTTACATAAAAAATTAAAAAAATTTTTAATTAATTTTTTATGTTAAAATGATGTAATATGATTGATTAAATATTAATTGAGACACCGTAAATTGCACAGAAGATTTAGAGCTTGTTCTTTTACTGTTTTTGAGTTAGGCGATTTGAGTGTAAATTTTGAGTTCAGTTTGAGTTATAATTTGAGTTAAAGTTGTAACTTGAGTTTGTGTTTGGTTGTGTACATTTGAGTTATGGTTTGAGATAAGAATCTTTTTGAGTTTGTGTTTGAATGAGTCAAAACTTAAATTTGTATTTAGATAGTATTTTAATAAAAACTCAATGCTAATGGAAAATTTTAATAGAGTATATGGGTGAAGTTTTATTCGTTTTTTCATTGTCAACGCATAGAAAAAAAATCATCTCCATCAGAATTAAAAATGAAAAAGTTATAACATTTTTAATAATAGAAAAAATATTGTTCATTAATTTGAGTTCGAGTTTCTAAACTCGAGTTAAAGGAAAAACTTGAACTCAAATTTTAATCTCAAACTCGAATTCAAATTTGAGTTTAAATTTAAAAGAACATTATACTTCAATAAAATTATAATTCGAGTTACTTTTTTTAAATTTTAACTCAAAAATGGGCTGCCCGAACAGCCCTTTAACTCCCGCTTTACCCAACATATTAGATCCGATTCAGTAACTTCTACTATATTGCAAGAAAAACCCTAACTTTTCAAAAATTTCACCCACTACCATCTATTCTCTCGCCAATTTCCAAACAGGGCGTTTGGTTCCCAAGAAAACGCTGGAGGAAAACAGAACCATCGGCATAATAATATAAATACACATATTCCGGAGCCTGAGCAACTCGGATCCGCCGAGAGAGAAAGGCGGAGTGACAGCAATGGCTGAGGTGTCTATGTGCAGCAGCGGCAGTAGCACGGAGCCGACGCCGGAGGAAGAGAGGGTTTTGATAAGAGACATTGCTTTGGCCGCCGAATCTAACGGCAAAGAAGGCGATACCTTTTATTTGATCACTCAGAGGTTCTTTTTTTTTATTATTATTATTTTGTAGTGGTTTTTCTATTATTGTTGGAAAATAATTGAACTCGACTAGACCTGTAGTGTGATTGTGCTTTATCTAGAACTCTGATAGTTTTTACTTCAACTGAATTTTGCCTTCACAGATATTACTCATTTTTTTTTAAAATTTTTTTCTCTTGAGTTTGGATGAATTTTAACCATGGAGATAGGCTTTCCTCTACTGACAATCATAGAAAAAATAATTTACATGTTCTGGGAGATTCTAAAATTTTCATTTTAATGTTTTATTGTCTCTTGAATTTCTTTTCCCATGGACCCCCAAATAAGATATGTGTGGGTTTTGTTTATGTTGTTGTTATTTGTTTCGTCTGGGTATTTTTGGGTTTTGATTTTTGTTATGCAATCTTAAGGATTATGAGGTCGTGTTTTGACATAAAATGGTGCTCAGAATCATACAGTTTTCAGTTATCTAAATGATTTATGACCTAATGCTTAGCAAGGGTCTTATAGTGTATGAATTACTTATTTATTTATTTATTTTAGTATTCTTTTCATTTCCAAGTAGAGCTGAAACTTCTGGCACTTCCTTCTTTTTTTTTTAATTAGATGGTGGCAACATTGGATAGAATATGTAAATCAGGATCAGCCAAACAACCCAAATGATGCATCTTCTGTGTCTGAACATTGCGATTCGGTTGGCTCAAGTACCTTAAAGAAGCCTGCTGGGATTGATAATTCTGACTTGATATCTGAAGCGGCACCGGAGGAATCCACTACAGGGACTGAGATACATGATACTTTACTAGAAGGCCGGGACTATGTATTACTACCACAAGAAGTTTGGAACCAATTGCATACATGGTGAGGAATGGTTAGGATTTTTCTTGCGAAGAATTTTCTTGCGAAGAATTTTCTTGACTGTGGTGTCAATTATTCTTTGGATTCAAATTCAAAGGTAGACTATTGCAAAAACTAAAAAAAAAAAAAATGAAAAAAAAAGTAAAGATTTCCTTTTCTCATGCTGATGTGTTGCCACATAAAAGTTACAGCAGGTAATGTCGTTGTTAGTAGAGAATGTTGTGGCAGGATCTCCATCTGTCTATCTTTCCGCTATTTCCCTTCATTCCAATATTGGGGCCTTTTACATGTTGCCTTTACCAATATCTATACTCCGTACCTCTCAAATGTGAGGGCATTCAATATTGCTGAATATGGTGCTCAGTCTGCATAGATTAGGCATACAAACCTCACAAAAGGTACTGGATTTGGAATAATTAAATTGCTTGCTGATCTATGACGGCATTTGAAGTCATAAAAAAATGAAGTTCCAGAAATGTGGTTGAAGTTAGTGTTCGCAACTGGTTTTATAGTCAAATAAAAATGTTTGGCGGATTGACAGAGTGTAGGCCCTAAAGACAGAGTACTCACATAGTACTAAATGTATTTGTTCTCTCTCTCTCTCTCTCTCTCTCTCTCTGTCTCTCTTTCTCTCTACCCCTAAGTAGGTGTTTTGCGTTCTATGGCAGGTCCATTTGTGTAAGTGTTTTTTCTTTAATCATTTACTGCGAAATTATGTTACACATATTATTTACCTCCTGAACTCATTGGAGGCTGCACTTGCTTTAGCTTAATAGGAGATTTTCTCCCCTGAGATTTATTTTCTTATTATTTGAAATTATTGATGTCATTTATGCTAGTCATAGTAATTCCTGTTTAAAGAAGTAATTTATTCCTTTTGACCTCTACTAAACTAAAACTAGATCATGAAATTGATCTTTGAAAAAGCATTATAAACTTTTCTTTCGTAGAATGAATGAAGAAAGCTACAAGCTGAGGCAGTGGCTTTGTTGAGGCTTCACATTTGAATAGGTGATTTGATGATGAGCTGATACTGACACTTGATGGAAGTTACTTGAATGGGTTATTCTGCTTAATTCTGAACGGACTGACTATTTTTGTTTTTGTTTCTTTTAGTTGTTTAAAATTTATTGTATTTTCAGCTTCTCATCCTCTCATGTTTTAATTTGACTCTCTCATTGGAGGATCCTGTTATTTCCGTTACAAGAAGGATTGAGAAATCAATGCATTCCTTTTTCCCGACAGGTACGGAGGTGGTCCTACATTGGCTCGGAAAGTAATTAGTTCAGGTATTTCACAAACAGAGTTGGCTGTGGAAGTCTACCCTCTGCGCCTTCAATTAATTATGATGCCAAAAGGTGACTGTTCTACTATAAGAATAAGTAAGAAGGTATGAAGTGAGGCCAGGTCATGATATACCTACCACTTTCTTCAGCTCTTTTACAGTAAGGTCTTTGCAGTTATATGCTGATTATGCGTGTATTTGACCTTGAAACATTGTGGCTAGGAAACCATTGGAGACCTTCATAGAAGGGCTTGCCAGATTTTTGATTTGAACGTGGAGCAAGTAAAAGTTTCATATGTCTTTGAATATTGTGTTTTATCTAACTGTTCTTCTGCATTCTTTAATTCAATTTTAATTTAACGTTAATTAAAAATCTGTTTTTACAGGTATTCATTTGGGATTTCTATGGGCGCCGGAAGCATGGTTTGATGATTGACATGGATAGAACACTTGATGATGCCAATATACAGATGGATCAAGATGTAAGTGTCTTTATTTTCCAACAATTACTCTGCAGCATTGTTATGTTCAACTCTTGGATTGATGATGCCAATGAACTATTATGCGTATTGTATATGGTTGTTAGGAAGTTACTAAGGAGATACAGAGACACATTATGTGTATATGTGTGTGTGTGTGTGTGTGTATGCATGTATGCATGTATATTGTAATAAGCAGCCTTTACTGATAGAAATCAATTACAAGGGGAAAATTACATAATAAAATAGCATAAACCGAGCTCAGAAAACTGCCAGGACCCAGTAACATCTTTCCAATTAAGAATAATTAAGAAAAATGAAAACTTTGCTTTCTCGTAAAGATCTTTTGTATCCATTTGTCTGTCCTAAAAAAATCTGGAATTTTGTCCATCCAAATTGTCCAAAGTATCATAGTCACAATACTATTCAACATTACTTTATCCATTTTATTGAGTCCAAAGCCAAACGGTTTCATATATGCAGCAATTAGGTTCTAAGTAGTATGCTGGAAGAAAAAGCTTCGGTTTTTTTTTTTTTTTTTTTGGTTTCATTGGCTGGTATTTTGACACATCTTTCCTCTTTTCTGCAATCACATAAACAGATTCTGGTGGAGGTCCTTAACAATGTCGATAATACTGTATCTGGTAGCTGCATGAGTTCTATTCAGAACAATGGATCTTTTGAGAAGGAAGCTACCTCTATTCTTGTAGAGCCTTCTAAATCAAGCTTGTCAATTGCAGGAGGTTTGTCTGCTAGCAAGGGTTCGTCTAGAAGCTACAGCACAGATCTTCCACAAAGTCAGACTCCAGCTAGAGAGTCGGATAACACTTATGGGGTCAGTGGTGTTAGTACAAGGGGTTCTTCAGGTGGTTTGACTGGTTTGCTAAACCTTGGAAATACTTGTTTTATGAATAGTGCTATTCAGTGCCTTGTTCATACACCAGAGTTTGCCAAATATTTTCGAGAAGATTATCATCAAGAGATAAACTGGAAAAACCCTCTCGGCATGGTTGTAAGTTTCAATGCTCTCGTCTAATAGTTATGAAATGTTAATTTTCCATTTTATTTAGTTTTGGTGGATGAGTGTGAATCTAAAGCATTTTGGGATTACCTTTACCCGTAATTTGTTATTGAAGAGCATTCATAATTTACTATATCAGTGATACAATTTTAGTAGAAGTTATCAGAATGACTCTGTTGCTTAAGGATCCCAAATTCTACTTTTATGAAGCACAAAAACTAGAGATCTGTCAATTGAGAGAATAACCACTTATTTTAACATTTGAGGCATCTTTATATTTGTTATTTACTTTAGTTTGGAAAGCAGGAGGAAGCTGGTTTTGGTTTGGGTGATTCGTAAATCTTGTTGATCTTTAAGTTTGAGTGGGTAATTTCTATTAACAAAAAAAAAAAAAAAGAGGGTAATTTCAAAGGTTTCGTGATTTCGGAGAAGAGAGAGTTTTGTAGCATGGAGTTTTAGTGCTATTTTTTTGGGGGTTTATTATGGAGTGAAATGGAAGGGGATTTAAAAGATAACTTTCAGACAAACATTTACAAAAGGATTTTTTTCCCTCTCTCTTCAACAAACTTGGTACTGGATAAACAATGAATACCACTTTGTGGTTTTGTATTGTAGGGTGAGCTAGCTCTAGCATTTGGTGAATTACTTCGGAAACTCTGGGCACCTGGCCGAATGCCGGTCGCTCCTCGACCTTTTAAAGCAAAGCTTGCTCGTTTTGCACCACAGTTTAGTGGATACAATCAGCATGATTCTCAGGTTTGCCAATATCCATAAAGGTAATTACTGGTTGCACTCGCTGCATCAACCAAAAGGTTAAATAGATTATTTATTATTATTTCAGGAGCTTTTAGCATTTTTACTAGATGGTCTTCATGAAGATCTGAATCGTGTTAAAGACAAACCTTACGTAAAGTCTAGAGATGCTGATGGCCGACCTGATGAAGAAGTTGCTGATGAGTATTGGGCCAATCACATTGCACGTAATGATTCCATAATTGTTGATGTGTGCCAAGTAAGTACACTGTTGGTGATATTATGTGACGTGTTGGTACAATTATTGGACATACATGCTTTGGATTCAATTTCTCCTATTTGTTCGACTTACCTGTTGATATTTCTTCATTATGATCCTATTTTTTTTTTTCCTTTCAGATTTTTTTACTGGGAACCTTCCAGATTGTTATAAAGTACACAGCATATAGATTATTAGTAGTTTTAATGATTGGTTTATTTTCCTTGGCTTTAACATTTTCTGTACTCCATTATTTTAAACGATTAATCGCAATCTATGAGATTCTCTCTTTCCAGTCATGATTGACCAATCTGTTTTTGACGCATCTTTATTCCTGTTTCTAATTGTTTGTTTCAGGTAACTAGTCACACTGAAAATCTGAACAAAAGTGTTTTTATTTTACTTTATTTTTTGGCGTCTTAATCTAAAGTTATTTTTTGTAGTTCTGTTCTCTGTGGAAGCCCTTTAGAGGGTGCGTTTGGTTACCGTGGCAGAATGGTAATGGTAATAGAAATAGTAATGGAATGGAATTGGAATGTGCTGGAAATATAAACTTATTATTTAGTTTGGTTAGAGTTATGGAATGACTTAAGAATATAATGAAATAAATTGCATTTTACCAAAAATACCATTAAACCTATAACCTTCATCTTAACCAAAAACGTGAACGAACAAACAACCCCAAATCCATAAAAAATCATTAGGTTATTCCGAACAAGAACAACTCCAAATCTAAAAAGATATACTCCTTAGAAAAGCAATTATTCAAAGTTTATCACAAATCTGAAAAATATCAAAACCAAAACACGCCGACAAAGCAAACTTAGAGAAATATAACTCAAAAATTGCAAAGCAACTTCAATGAAAAAGACCGATTATGTGTGTCAAGATAGTGATTGACAATTCTCAATGTCGATGGTGGAACGACAGAATAAAAAACAAAGAAAAGCTTGAAGCTTGAAGATGGCTTCAATGTCAACGGTGGAGCGTTGACGGCTCTTGAAGCAAGCTCCGATGTTGTCCGGCGCCCTTGAGAGCACTAGAATGATGCGATCTCCGATGATGCTTGGCGGCGTACGAAGTGGCATTTGGGGTGGACGCGACTATGATGCTTTGGCGGCACTAAAGGGCTCCAAAGGATGCAAGCTTCGGCGATGTGTGGTGGCGCTCGGCGTGGGCTTTGGAGGAGGATGCTAACTCCGATGATGGCCACCAGTGCTCGACGCAAGCGTCGTAATGGAGTTTCAAGATCTGCTTCTGGCTGGATCTGAGCAAAGATGTGGATGGGTTTTGATTTTGGTGTTGTGTGTTGAAGATGAAGAGGGTAGTTAGGGAAAAAGTGATTCCACAAACCTCAGAATATCAATTCCACTCTCTCACCGGATGAATGGCCTTTCCACCAAAATGAGTGAATGGGCTTTACAATGGAAAGGTCTTTCTGAAGTTAATTTGTTAACCAAAAAGAGATTTAGACTTTAGCAAAGGAATTGTCTTTCCTTTCCTTTCCTTTCCCCCCAACCAAATGTACCCTTAGAGTTTAGAGCACCTGTCCCCAAGGGGACTATTGCATTCTCTTGTTACTGTATGGACACCATGTTAAAAATTTGTGGTTAATTTTAGTTAATCTGTAAGTGTATTTTAAGACGCAAAGTATAGCTTTGCAATTGATTGTCCTTGCATGATATCAAATTTAGTTTTTTGGTGCTATCATTTATCTGTTAATTTGGGCTATCACATCCCCCAATATGAATCCTTTGGCTTTGAGTTTCATCCATGAAAGCTAAACGAATTGAGTTTCATCCATGAAAGCTAAACGATGAAATATTTTTATTTTTATTCTTCTAGAAAAGACAATGTAAGATTTTTATGTATAGTGATACGAATACAGAAAACGAGTAGCAGATGCTAATTGACATGATCTAAAAGTTTAATATGCTCAGTACTTGGTCGTTACTTTTTACATTAGCACAGGTCTGGAGAAAGAAAATGTTAGTTGGTCATAATCATGTCTAACACCTTAACTCTCCCTGTATGTATGTCTATCTTTTCTATCTGTTTATCTATATGGTTTACGTGTATGAATAGACGTGCACTTTCACATACATGCATATGTGTATCTATCTTCATGTCTATCCTGGTCATGTTTGATTCATGCATTGACGAGTTGCTCATCTTACAGGGTCAATACAAGTCAACTTTGGTTTGTCCAGTGTGCAATAAGGTCTCTGTCACATTTGATCCTTTCATGTATCTTTCGCTGCCTCTTCAGTCTACCATTACCAGAACTATGACTGTAACAGTTTTTGCATGTGATGGTAATGCATTGCCAACAGCGTTTACCGTGACTGTCCCAAAGCAGGGACGTTGCAGGGACTTGATCCAGGCACTTAGCAATGCCTGTTCGTTGAAGCCCAGTGAAAAGCTCTTACTTGTGGAGGTTTTTAGCATTATCCCGAATCCGATGATTATGGATTTTCATTGGACTGTATGTAAGTAAGTTGATTCAATGTGTCACTTTACAGGTCCACCACAATACAGTTCAAAGGTTTTTGGAAGACCCGTTAGTATCATTATCGACCATCAAAGATGATGATCATCTTGCAGCATATCGAATTCCTAAGTTGTTGAAGAACACCAAATATCTTCAGTTCATACTTCGCCGTAGGGAGCAGTAAGTTACTTTTTAGTTACTTAATGACTAGAATCTTAACAGCACCACTCTTGCCTTTTGTTTTGTTTTGTTTTGTTTGTCTGTTTGTTTTTTTCTTTTTTCTTTTTCTTCCTTTTCACTGAGTTTCTATGTTACTTATTTACTTTCCATTGTCCTAGAGGTGCTAGCAGCAATCAGACTGCATCAGGATGGAAATCCTTCGGAGCACCACTTGTCTCGGCAATCTCATGTGATGATGTAATTACGAGGGGTGACGTACAGGCAATGGTTCGCAGAATGCTTTCTCCTTTTCAAAGAACTCAGAGTCCTGGAAGTGCCGACGTATCCGATTCCAGCATTTCAGCTGCTGCATCAGAGCATTGTAACGACTCTGGTTCGGGTAAAGCTTGTCCTGGATCGAACAATATGGAGAATAATGATGTCGATAGTACTAAAGCGACAACTTTTGAAGAACTACAGCTCCAATTGGTTGATGAAAGTAATGTGTGCATTGATTTGGTAGACGGGGAACATAAAAGCATCAAAATTTCCTCATCATCAACGTCTACAATAGTATATATTGATTGGTCACAGAAACTCTTGGAGAGTTATGATACTCACTGCATAGAAAACTTGTCGGAAGTGTTCAAGTATGGACATGTTGCAAAGAAAGCCCGCAATGAACCTCTTTCCTTGTACACCTGTCTAGAAGCTTTTCTACGTGAAGAACCACTGGTGCCTGAAGATATGTGGTTAGCTTCTTCACCTCCCCCCCTCTCTCTCTCTCTATCTCTCTCACAACACACACACACACACACACACCCACACCCGTAACTGTAGGCTAAGGCTACTTTCTTCTGCTTCCCTTAGAGAGTCAAGAGCAAATATTGAATGGATCTGCAAGAAATAATTTCTTACTTGCAGAAATGTCTTTCAGTTAAAGATGGTTCTTTGCTTTGCATGATTTGTGTAACCTGGATGTCCCAGTAGTAGATGATTTGCCACATTAGACGTCGACACACATTTTCTGATATCATTGTTTTGTACTTTTTTGAAGCCTTGGAGTGTGTTGATTGAATTTGCATTATGTACTTACTCTTGTATTGTAATTGTAAATCTAAAATCCTTCCCCTAAAAGTTCGACCACTAATGTCATCTCAATGGATATCTGGTGAAGGTTCTGTCCCCAATGCAAAGAGCGACGACAAGCGAGCAAAAAACTTGATCTATGGAGACTTCCTGAAGTATTAGTCATCCATTTGAAGAGATTCTCATACAGCAGGTCTATGAAACATAAACTAGAAACCTTTGTAAACTTTCCCATTCATGACTTTGATCTAACAAATTACATAGCCAATAAGAACAACTCCCAGCGTCAACTTTATGAACTTTATGCCTTGACTAATCATTATGGTGGAATGGGTAGTGGCCATTACACTGCGCACATCAAGGTGAGTGAAAAAAAATAAAAAATAAAAACTTTGTTTTCAAATTTCCTTTTCTCGTCCAGATTTTAGTTGCTATTTTTAGTACATTTTCTAGTATTGTACTTTACAACTTTATACAGTCGTTTATGCCCATTGTTTGTGCTTAGTGGCTATACTAATTTTTCAATTTGCAGCTTCTGGACGAGAATAGATGGTACAACTTTGATGACAGTCATATATCACAGATAAATGAAGAAGATGTGAAGTCAGCTGCTGCTTATGTTCTCTTTTATCGGCGGGTGAGAACTGAAGATGCTTCTGTTAGCAATGGCGTTCCATCCAGTGCTGGTGTCGACAATATTCATTTGCAGAAGTAGACTCCAAGGACAAATTTTTTGCCAAAAGGGCAGCATTGCATTATCCAGTGTACGTGCAGCAGTTCTTTGTATACATTTTATAAAGTTAACAAACATATCCTGGCCTTAGGCCAATTCTTTACAGTCCGGGAAAAGGGGGAAAAAAAAGCCACAAAAGATAGCTTTTAATTAAAAGAAAGTGGAAGAAGTACACCTTTGTTATAGAGCTGTTGGGGGGTCTCTCCTTGAGCTGACAATGCATTGCCATTTCCTGCTGGTGTAAGTTAAATAATAATAATAATAATAATAATGAGAGAGGTACGACTCAAAAAATCTCGTAAAATCGGCTGCAAATGTCAAAATAACATGCATTCATCCTGTTAACCTTTGGTGCTATCCTCAATTTTTTTCTAAACTTCCCAAAATTTGTAGGAATTATTAATGCCTCAATGTTATTAATTATTTTTTTCTCTTTTGTTCTCTAATTAAACAGGAGAAGTGTGCGACCATTTTGGTCATGCTGCAGACTATTTATTCCCATGTCGCCTTGTTCAACATGTTTGTTATGGTGCATCAAGTACCATTGAAATGAAAGGAAAATCTGGGATCCCGATATGGCTGAAGCTGATTGTGAAGTCATGAAGCCTCCTGGATTAGAGCATTTTCTCCCCCAGGCAGGTTTAGATGATGGAATTGCTAATTTTATCATGCATCGGGAAATATTTATATGTATTTTTTTTCTTTTTGGAAGACTATTCTAGTAATACAAGTTTTAGTAACTTAGCAAGAGAGCAGGAAAGTATTGTGTTAAACCTGAAACCTATAATTGTTCTTTGAGAATACTCATTGTAGCGATTTTTGTTTAACCAAAATGATGAAATAGTTGATACCAGCTCCAATTTCCACCGTAGATTCTTTTTAGGATTATTATCACTAGTGTCTGTGCCTTAAAGTTTAGGGCCGTTCTCAGTTTGTCTCTCGTACTTTAAAATTTCACTTTGCCTTTTGAATTTTGAATCGTTTTCATTTAACTTCTATTGTAATTTATGTTAAAAACAGAATGAGAAAAGGAGAGTAATGCAGTCATGTAGCTTTTTTGTTTAAATCTCTGTTGAAAACAATCAGATAAAAATCACATGATCAAACTTAATTTCCTGTTTTTCCGTTTGATTTTAACTTTAATTCTTATAAAAGGGCATAAATGGGATAAATTTAAAGTTTTGGGGCAAAGTGAGAATTTTTAAAATTTAAAAGATAAAATATAAATAATTTTAAAGTTTAAAGAGCACCAATGAGATTAATTCATTTTCCTGTCTCTCTCTTACGTACATAAGTACTCGTGTAGAAGACTTCTTATATAAATGAAAAAAATAAAGTGAAGACTTTAAAGCAGAAAACAAAATAATGAAAAACATAACAAAAGAGAAAAGAAGAAAGTTGAAAAGAACAGACACGTGAAGAAGATTCTAAAATAATTTTTCAGGTAGGGAATACCTCTTAATAATGTGTTGTAAATTATTGATTTGTATCGAAAATTCTTTAATAGCGAGTGGAATAAGGTACTCGTTTGACAAAACTGTTGAGAGTTATCTTTAGACTGTTAAACAATTTTTAGCAACTGAAAAGTGTATAGTAAACCCTATCTTATCTTTGTACAACTAATTTTGCAGTCGCTATTTAAATACACTAACACAACCCTTATAATAACTATTGTTATGAACGTATATTCTACTTGCACGAAAGTAATCTGTTTCTTCTTTAATATGTTTGAGATAAAATAATAAAATTCTAAACTATTATTGTAATTTACAAACATATTCTTATCAAACTAAAATAAAATATATTGTCGGGGTCCGGTAGATTCGGAGGGTATGACGTGGCGAGGGTGTGCACGTGTAAGTATTTGACTTGTTGGTGGCGGTTCTAACGTGACCAAAGCACTTAACAGGCCTTCAAAGTAGATGACGATGGTAGGACCTCCGACGATGGTGTGATTCACTTAGGTCCAAATTAGGCCGAAGAATACGTGTTCTAGGACCCTCTTTGTTGTCAAAATCACGAAAAATACTCATGCAAAAAATGTTAGAAAATCCGAAAAATAATAATGAAGAACTTCGTGAAAGAAGAATGGTAGGAGGAGTGATCACGTAGTTGATGGATGAGCGACTCAATAGGTGGATAAGGATTTTTGATGGAGAGGGGCTCTAAAGGCAGTTTCCGGGCTGCTTTGGAGGCTTTAAATATGAGACTTTTGCTGGTGGATAAGGCGCTGATGGAGAAACGTGATACATAGGAGTTTGGTGGAAGAGCTCTGAGAGGAAATGTAGGTTGTTCCGAGAGCGTAGAGAATGTTTACAGCACTCCCTCTGACGGTGGATGAGAGTGACTCCGAGGTTGAAGGCTTGAATACTTTCAGAAAAGTGTGAAGATAACTCTTAAAAAAACTCTCAGATGGTGTTGGAAGATGATTGAAAAGTGTTCTTGAGGAGTTTCTAAGGAGGTCAATGTTGGTTGCCGAATCGAATCCGGCTGCGGAAGCGCGGTGGTGCGGGGAAGAGGCGGATCGTGTATAACAAAAATTTTCATAAAACTTTTGAGATACTCTATAGATTATATTAATTTATGCATGAATAAATTAATCTCATTAACTTATAAAGATCAAGAACTCAATCAGGAAAAATACCTGGAAGCCGACTCGGATGATAACTTGAGTTCTTTGACCATGAACAGTCCTTGCTCCAATCTTTGTGTTTAGAAAACCAATGTCTTCCACATCAATTCCTAGGATCCACGAAGACGTGTGTGTGGGCACACATGAGACAAAACGGGTTACAATAAACACTCAAATTTCCACAAACACCATCACATGCACGATGTGGAATTTTTGGAGAAAATTTTTTTTTCTTCCTCTCTCTCTCGAGAATTTCGGCCAGCCTTAACTCTTAGGGCTGAAAAATTGTTTCCAAAATTTCTATAGAGAAATTTCGGCTACCTCTAAAATTAGGGCAAAAAACCATTCCGAAAATTGTCTCAAAAATAGTATTTATAGAGTAGAAGTCAAACTTCTAGAAAGAATCCAATCTCTATCTCCAATTTGAATTTCAAACCAAAATTCTCCTATATCCCTTATCCCTTGTGGCCGGCCATGCTAGGGATTCCTATCCCTGTGTGTGGCGCCAATACTGGATAGGGAAGGAAGAGAAAATCATCCTTTATCCTGTAGTCCAATTTTATTTCAAATTCAAATTCAAATTTAAGTCAAACTTAAATTAATTTGAATTCTAAATTGAACAACTTATCAAATAAGTTTAAATGGATAAATCTAGACGTGTTCAAGTTCAAATTTAAATAATCACATTATTTAAATAATAATTAATTCTCAACTAATTATTTT